AAAGAAAGAAAGAAAGAAAGAAAGAAAGAAAGAAAGAAAGAAAGAAAAGGAAGGGAGGAAGGGAGCAAGAGACCTTCTAGTATATGTGTTAGATCAGGAGTATCAAACTTGCGACCCGTGGGCTAGATGCCTCATCGCTGGCCACGACCACCCCGGTTTAGCGAGGGGGGGGGAGTTGCAATACATCACATGATGACAATGCGACAATGCGAGTTTGACACCCCTGTGTTAGACCAATGTTTTTCAATCTCGGCGTCATGAAGATATGTGGACTTCAACTCCCAGAATTCCCTAGCCAGTCATTGTGCCTGGAGAATTCTGGGAATTGAAGTCATCGCCTCACATTGCTGAGATCGAGAAACCCGGATGTAGACAAGCCTGTAAGTGCAGGATGGAGTGTTCAGCATTTTTAAAAGATTCAAGGTCCTAGACCTCTTCATGGTTACCAAAGGAAGCACGAATCTAGCCAATAGAGCAAGGTTTCTCATCCTTAGCAATTTTAAGATGTGTGGATTTCAATCCCTGGAGTTGCTGGCAGGGAGATTTGGGGAGTTGAAGTCTACGCATCTTAAAAGTTGCCAAGGTTGAGAAAGCCTACAAAACAGGACGAAATTTTAGCAGACGGAAGAGGAGGCTCAGTAGCATTTTAAGAGATTGGAGTCAGAACGTCCTTGCACCTCCCAGTGGCCAAATTATCAAGTACATTGCAGTTTTTCAGTAACGCAATTAACATTTCTGTTCCCCTTCCCTGTTTGTTTATCTTGAGGTAGAGTTTGAGATTGAAATGTTAGTTGAATTATTCATAGGATTTGCAGCAGATCGATGTAGGGAACTGCATGCAGGAGATACATATAGTCCTTGATTTATGGCCACAGTTGGGGCCATTCCTAAGCAAAATAGTTGTTAACTAAGTCATGCCTGAGATATTAAGTGAATCGTGCGGTCGCTAAGTGAATCCAGCTTCTCTCCCTCCCCCACCCAATTGACTTTGCTTTTTGGAAGCCAGCTGGGAAGGTCATACATGGCAGTCATATGACCCAGGGATGTTTCAACCACTTATGAATACATGCCAGTTGCCAAACACCCAAATGTTGACCACATGACTTGGGGTGCTACAAGAGGTGGATGTGCAAACACCTCTTGTAAGTTGCTTTTTCTTTTTTTAATGCTGTTGTAACATGGCGTGGTTGCTCAACAGTTATAAATCGAGGACTGTCTGTACTAGACAAGGAAGGAATGCTAACTAATTTCAGCTTCATCTTTAAACTGTAGTAGGAATTAGGACTAACCCTGGATTCCTGACTCTGTAATATTAACATTGTTATGTCCTCACTGCTGACAAGCAAAGTGCATTTGTCATCCCACCAAGGATTCAACATTCAGGTCGTCCTTGAATTACAACCATTCATTTAGCGACTGTTCGAAGTTACAACAGCACTGAAAAAAGTGACTTGTGACTGTTTTTCACACTTATGCCTGTTGCAGCATCCCCATGGTCACGTGATCAGAATTCACAGGTGCTTGGCAACTGACTCATACTTAGGACGGTTGCAGTGTCCCGGGGTCACGTGATCCCCTTTTGCAACCTTTCTGACAAGCAAAGTCCGTGGGGAAGGCAGATTCACTCAACAACCATGTTACAAACTTAAACAACTGCAGCGATTCACTTAACAGCGGTCTTACTTAGCAATGGACATTTTGGGCTCAATTGGGGTCGTAAGTAGAGGACTACCTCTATATGCTGCCTGCCCCGTTTTGTCATAAAACAATGCTGCGAGGTTAGTGCAAAATGATCAGTGATTTAAAGTTGGATTTTACCAGACCACTTTTGGTTTTATTTCGCAGCCATTTGAATAGCTCAGACCTTTCTCTTGAAGAGAGTGTGTTTGTTGTTCTTTCTTTCTTTCTTTCTTTCTTTCTTTCTTTCTTTCTTTCTTTCTTTCTTTCTTTCTTTCTTTCTTT